TCTTAATTCTAATTTAGCCAAAAAATTAGAATTTCAAAGTTAGAAGATCCAAGAATTAAAGTTATCAACTTAGGGAAAAATCCAAAGACATTATTTATCTCTTAAAATAAACGAATCAGAGAACGCGGGGCGTTACAGGTTTCCTTTGGACCCTTCAGAGGCCGTTCTTAAGCTCTTTCTGATGTTGCTTGAACTGCTGCAGTAGGTCCTCGTTGTTGACCGACTCTGATCTCCTCGGGAAGTTGTCTCTCTTGGAGTACTTCTGATCCAAGACATTGCGAAGGTCTTGTTCGTTCAGTGAGGAGAGGCAGGCGCGCATGTCTTCCTGCTCTCAAGGGCGATCGTTTCCCCCAAGGACGAGCTTCGACGAGTTGCGTCCTATCAACCTTTCCTGGTCGGCCCCGGTAGCCTTTGCTTTCCCCCTACGGGAGTCGCGCTAGACCTCGGAGAGCTTGGGTAGCAGCTCTCCCGTTGTCAGTAGTGCCTCAGTTAGGGCTACGACCAGAGCCCTCATGGCATCCATTTCTTCTTGTGGGTCGAACACCACATCGACCTGGAGGCGAGACTTCGATCTCTGGGAGTTGGTTCGGGTCTTCGGTTTTCGACTTGCCGATGGTTTGGAGGCACCTGACCGAGCTTTCGGGTCTTTGGAGTGGTGGTTGCTTGATTTTTTGGAACCTTCCGTCGTGACTAGCATTCGAGTAATCTGTTTGATATGTCTACGACAGTTGATTCCCACAGACGATGCCAACTGTTGATGGACAAATCTGCCAAGGCACGGAAGACAACTTGGAAGGTCGGGATCGATACTTAGAGTGTTCTTTAGGGGTACCTGCAAGACAGGTAAGCCACTCTGATGCCCAAGTCAGTACAGAGTCTGAGCTCAACTGATCAGTATCAGACATATTTTTTGTACCTGAGCATCAAAAGGGGTATTTATAGCGGTCAATAGGGTGGATAGCTGTCCCATCCGGGTATAGCCCTGCTCGAGCTAGATTCCCCCGAGCGACCTTTGGTCTCAGCCATGGACCGATCTGTTCCTGGTTCCATTAGGCGAGTCTGGGTACCATGTTTTTTAGTGGTGGCGAGGTCGGCCGTTTGTAGGAATCGTATACAGGTCGGGCGCCCATAGTTTGACCTTAGATGAACTTCTTTTGGACTTTGCATAAATTGATTTATCAATCCTAAAGCATACGTAATATCTAGTCCTGTATGAGATATATTAATTTTCAACTAATCTATAGTAAGTTTCCTTATTTATTGAAAGACTCTCTTAAGCTGCACATAATTTACGGCTTTGATCAATTGACGTTCCTATTGATTTGCTATGAAGCTTTCATGTTTTAAAATAAGTCAATCACATACTTTTGTTGTGATAAAAATATGTCATGTTTAGAATATGTGACTCTCATCCCATGGATATATTTAGCTTTCCAAGTTCTTTAATTTCAAACTCCTTGATTAGACAATTTCTTAGTTACCTTGTTCATTACCTGTTTGGGTTTATAAGAGTATAAACAAAATCCAACATTGAATAGGAAAGAGGATGATCATGGGTATATAAGAGAGGACAATAATCTCCATTGGTATAAGGCATTTTAGGTGTAACAAAAAACAAAGTCGTGAAGGTTATGCTCAAAGTGGACAATATCATAACACTATAGAGATACTTGGGGTTACATGAGTACTGTTGTCTTTAACAAGTGGTATCAAAGTCATGGTCTAAACTTAGCTGTGCTGGTGAAATCCTTGGGTGCCGAACAAAAACGTAATGAGCCTTTGAAGATGTAGTCATAGTGTGATCTGTGGTTGTGCTATATCTAGGTGTGCCTGGAACTTTGGGTAAGAGCAAGCTCTTGTTGTTTTCCGAGAGTGGAGAGATGGTTGACTACTTGAGGGATCCTTGTTGAGTTGTAGCTAATCCAACATTGAAGGGCTTGCTTTAGTCCATACAATGTTTTTCTCATTTTACATACCTTATTTCCTGCTTGCTTATACCCAGGTGGAATTTCCATATAAGTTCCTCTTTAAAATCACCATGCAGAAAAGCATTTTTACATCATATTGTAACATGTCTATCTAGGATTTAAAGCAAGAGATAGAAGTATTCGTACTGTGTTCATTTTCGCAACAGGTGCAAGGTAATCGACTTCATAGGTTTTGGTATATCCCTTTAGCAATGAGGCCAAGGCTGTTGTAGATGTTGCTCAAGCTAAGCTCAACAAGATTAGGGCCTAGCTTAGGGGATCTCAATCCAAGGTTGAAGAGCTCAGGAGACCTTGGAATAGGCTCACGAGGCCATGAGGATCATGATCATAAAGGAGGAGAAGGTTGAGCTTTAGGGAAGTTCGAGGGGCTGGAGGGAAAGCTGAAGGATAAGGAATTCCTTGAAGAGAAGTTCCGAGTTATTGAAGCCTTTGTGAAGTTTTTAGCAAACATTTTTCTAATGACAGATTCAAGTTCGCCCTTCATAAGACTAGGAGTTTCTTTCCAAACTTGGACCTCACGAGCTTAAGGCATCCTAATTTGTGATCAAGGCATCCATTTACGATCTTGAGGCCCCTACATCGATGTCCAAGCGATGTGGATGAACCTGAGCTAAAGGCATCCTAATTTGTGATCAAGGCATAAATTTAGGGTCTTGAGGCCTCTACATCGATGTCTAAGCGATGTGGATGAACCTTAGGCTTCTTCAAGTGGCCGTACCAAGGAGTTCAAAGCTTCAGAAGAACAATTAGGCCTAGGGCAACTTTTCCATCCTTTGGTTTTACTTTTATTTAATTTTTGTCGTAATATTTTTTCCTTATATATATATATTTCCTTTTCTTAAAGTAAGTGCATATATACCTTTGTCTTTCACATCAATGGAAACTAAGTTTTCTTTACTCAGCTACCTTATGCAGTTTGTCTTTCACTGCATTTTAAACTTATCTAATTTATTGACTTCAAGCTTAATTCCTATCGAGCTTAGTTTCAACTTAAGGAAAAAGTACTTAATGGTTTGGGCTAAGCTTTTGTCATTCTAACTTAGTGGTGATCCAATGAGATCAGGTTTACCCTTGTTGAGTTGTAGCTAATCCCATTGTCTTAGTCAAGGTTGGAAGGAACGAGTTTGGTTATAGGGCCATTCTTTGAGGCGAGAATATGCAAAGGTTGGCCCTTTTAAGCTCGTGCTTTGCATTTAGGCGTAGTAAAAGTGTATCTATCTGATGGCCCCCAGTTGAGTGTAGGTTGGATTAGTCAAACTTGATCAAATATGATAAACACACCTTTTATTAATCCATTAGAACATTTTTACATTCCATTTGAGAATAGACGTTTTTATAATTCATGAATAATAAATTTTCAAGTGCCTCGCATTCTATGAGTGGGGAACCAATTTAACCACATAGGTTGGCGAACATGTAGGTGTTTGGGTGCATAATATCTTTCACTTCGAGGGGCCTTCTCAGGTCAGTTCATTTTATTTGATCACTGGTCTAAATTGTGATGAATATCTTAAATTGGATGACATAACCGATAAAAAGGAAACAATTCTTCATATTTAGTAACATATTTAAACATTGTGAATCAATTTATAGCAGAGATATCATTCTAGCTTTTTAGCATAGTTTCTGGAAATGATGAAATCATGGTAAAAATTATCAATTTTATATATTTCTTATTAGGTATATTAAGTATGTGTATATCAAATTTACCTTATGGAAGGGTAAAATTGGAATAAACAAAAAACAAAAATAAGATTCCAAAAGTTTTGCAACCTTTGCAAAATGTAAAAGTTGTACCTACATTTGGCATATGGCTCCAACCAAGAGGTTGTGAGTTCGAATCCCCACTCCAACATGTTGTAAAAAAAAAGGTTGTGGCTATGTTTGTAAATATGGCCAAAATAATTAATTAGCTACGAACTATTAGTTCCCTAAAATAAACGTATTTATGAAAAGATAATTATCTTTTGTTTTTTTCCCCCAAAAATATCACAAACTTAACTTTTGATTGGCTGCATGTGATTGTATTGGTTTTCCATTTGTGATTTTTGTAAAATTCTAATCCTAATGTTATATATTAAATACATATTCCATTATGTGCAGTTTTCCCTCTATTTATTTTATCTTATTTCTATCGCTAGATTTCTAATTTTATTGAATATTCTCTCTCCAAATTTAAACCCACTTAATTAACATATATAATTCTTCTTATTTTTTAAAGTAAAAGTGTTTACACTGAAATATATAATCCAAAAAATGTTTACACTCAAATATATAATCCACATTTTAATCACACTCTAATATGACTATTGCCTTTTAGTTGTTTCCTTTTCTTAATGGGCAACTCACAATGTTCACAAAATGATAAATTATACAATGCTTTAATTAAACTTTATTCAAAATATGTATTATTAGGAACAACTTAAATAGACTTCATAAAGAATTGTTTTGAAACCCATAATTATATGTTTATAGATCATGTTGGTTTGTGATAAATCCAACAAACTTTACAAGTACCAATCATAATCTGATTATATTAGCGTGACATAATTTTATTTTAAAATTGAGTTTAATTCTAACATATAGATCAAATATTTAGTGAAACGAGACAATACATGTAATTCTATTTTCTTTACACAGAAAAAGTTTTACTCCTTAAATTAGACCACAACTTTAAATCAAAATTTACAAATAGAATATTGTGAATAGTGATTGCGACAGTGTAACAACATATGGGTCGTTCCTTTAACAAATTAATTTTAAAATAAAAAGTAAAACAAAAACTCCTTGGAATGGAAGAGATGTTGATGGTTGGATTTTTGAAAGCCAACCAGAAAAAGCAATAATACCACTAATTTTCCTTTAAACAAGGGGTAAAGAGGTCATCTTCTTCCACACCATGAATCATGATCATCACTTCCACTCCTAACTCTCCATCATTACACAGTTAATTTAATTTATTCCAATGTTATCTCATTATTATTTCTACCATCATTGCCTTAACTTTTCTTAAAAATATTGACATGGTCAAACAAATCAAAACCTACACCCTCATTTCTGATAGAATCTATGTAGAGCAAACAAATGTACTCGCCTAGCTTAGGCCTAGAACCACTTTCCTCGTAATCATGACATCACTCTTTGAAAAAGTTCAGCTCTCTAATAACAGGCCCTAAAATACAGTTTTATCTCGTATTAACCAATAGTATTAGTATAGAATTGTCAACCATGTTATTCCAGTCGCTTGAGTAATTTCTCTGTGTTTCATGGCTCTACAAGCTTCGAGTCCGAAGCTCCTCCCTCTCCTCGGTGTCCTTGTGAGTATCTGTTGGCCCAAAAGAGATAGTTGAAGAAATTGACAAAACTGAGGCCCGCCAGTAACCAGTAGAACAAGTCCAATCTGTCATTGTTGAGGTCATTGTGGCTGAGCCAGCCACCAGCGGCAGAGCCACGAGTGATCTTGTTGACTAGAGACACCAAAAGAGAGCTCAAGTAGAAGCCAAAGGAGTAGGAGCAGTAAGTCATGGCAGTTAAAAACGACTGCATCCCCTCAACTGACTGCTTGTAGAAGAACTCCACCAGCCCGACTGCAGTGAACAGCTCCGAGATCCCGAAAATGACGAACTGCGGTGAGATCCAAAGGATCGAGAGAGGGGGTGCCCCAGCGGCGGAGGAGTTTCGCCGCTTGGTCTCAACCAATGCGGCGGAGACCATGGAGAAAGTTGCGACGAAGAGGCCGGTGCCGACGCGCTGGAGGGGGGAGATGCCGGAGGGGGCGCCGGTGAGGCGGCGGGCGAGGGGGACGAAGGCGGTCTCGTACAGTGGAACGAGGAAGATGAGGATGAGGTAGGGGATGGCTTGGAGGGAAGCGGGAGGAATTTGAAACTTGGGGGTGAGCCATGAATCCATGGAAGTGCCTTGTTGGACTGAGAAGGTTTGAAGCTGAGCTAAAATGGTGTTGAAGATTATGGTGCAGGCAAATATTGGGATCACTGAGAGAATTATTTTCACTTGCTCCACTTGTGCCACTGTGCACAGCTTCCATGGACTTTCTTCCCTTCCCTCATCATCTTCACTTTTTATGCATGCCTTGTCAAGGAATCTGTAAATATATATATATACCCATCATGTTTACAATATTTTTAAAGTTAAACTAAAATCAATCTTCATCAAACACAAAATTCAACCAACAAAAAGCAAAACTCGTTCATAAAAATACCCGAAACAAGCTACAAAATCAAGGAATAATCTAAAAACTTGTTCAAACTTAGTAACAAAGTGCTCAAATTTCAACTAATTGAAAGCACTGTACAATTGGAAACATTAATCTCCGTATTTACTACAACTTCCTCCTTTACCACTGTTTAATATCTAACAATTGAGAAAGAAATGCAAAAACAAAAAGTTTTCTTTTGAGAAATCCCTTTCCGAATCAGTATACTTTCCAGAATATACCTTACTCATAAATCTTTAGAAAAAAAATGAAAACTGATTAAGTGAATGATTTAAATGGATGAAATTAAAAGTTTATTATAAATATTTGAGATTACTAAAATTTGACACCTGAACTTGTCGGTGTGAAGGAGTTTGAGGAGGCCATTTTCAGTGCCATGGAGCATCTCAGAATTCGAAGGACAGATTTGCTTCCTCTTGGTAAATGCAGCTACAAAAACCTATCCCAACAAAAAATAAATGGACAAATTAGCTCTTTTGTAATCTCAATTTTCCTTTTTACTTAATATTAAACTTAATCACTTTGTTTGAAATCTATAAATAAAATTAAATTATGAGGTCTGCAGTCCAACTATCAACTTGAAATTACAAAATGTCAATCAATTCCAAGTCACATTTTGAATAATCATTGAGTACTCAAAAAACTATTTATAAATCAATTTAGTGCTTTAGAAATACTATAGATTTAAAAATATATATATATTAACTTGAAATCATTTTGAGAGTCAAACTAAACATATTAGAAATTAAAATTAATCCAAAAAATACTTATAAAAAAAATAGTCCTTTTACTTAAAAAGCACTTCATTTCAAAAGTCATCATAGAGATAAAAGAGTGGGTTAGGCCAATTACATCAAAATTGCTTTTTAGATAATCATCTCTCAAGTATTTCTTCAAAAACTATTTACAAATCCATTTAAAAGATCTATAGTAATTCTAAAAAAAAAAAGACTCCTTCATTACTTAAAATAAATAGTAACTTCTTGTCTCAGCACTCAAGTACTTAAAATGCAAAACATCAATCACTTCAAAACTGGTTTCTAGACCATCACTTAAAAACTACTTTATGCACAATCACCCCTTTGATCAAAAACTACTTTTAAGCCAAAAAGTTAAGTCCTCTGAGTACTTAAACCACAAAAGCAAGTTACATTTTAAACAGTCATCTCTCGCACGAGTATTTCATAGAAAACTGGCTTTAAACCAAAAGCTTAAATCATCTCTCGAGTACTTTACTGGAAAAGTATATCACTTCAAAACCTCTTCCTGGACAATTATCTGTCACATAAGGATTTCGTCACAGGAAAATACTTGATTCTTTAACGTTGAGAATCAATCTTGTCCTCACCACTCTTATATATCTGACAATTAAAAGAGAGAAATGCAAAAAATAGAGACTTTTTATAAAAGCTAATGAATTGTCAATTTTTCGACCGCAGTGATAACAAGATTTGAAATCAACCTACAAAAGCCCAATCACTTCAAAACCACCTTTTGAACAATCGTCTCTTGCACGAGTATTTCATCAAAAACGAGTTTTGATCTGAAAAACGATCCCACAAATAAGAAAGAAAGAGAGATACGGAATGAAGAGAGAGGGAGGCATGATTGAAAAATACTTGAGCAATTGGGGTGAAGATGGTGCCGCGAGGAGGGGTATTTCTATAAAGGGAAGTGGCGGAGAGAAGGCAGATGAGGCCAAGAAGCATGGCGGCGGTGGAGACTCCAAAGCCAACGTCCATGCCGGCGTGGGTTTGGAGCCACACCAGGAGAGTGAGCGCCGCGAGCTCTCCAGTGCAGAACGCAAAGTAAGCGCAGTTGAAGAAAGTGGAGAGCTTTTTTAACTGCTTTGGGTCCTCCTTTGGGAATTGGTCTGCCCCATGGGATATGATGTTCGGCTTCAAACACCCACTTCCCAGAGCCACCAAATACAGCGCGACGAAGAACATCGCCGCTTCGCACCCGCTCGCCTCCACGCACGGCGTCGATGTGGCAGCCATGTCGCACGGCGCCGGCCTCAGTCCTGGGTAATGGGCTTGCACTGTCAGCAGAGTGAATCCCTGCACCACAGAAATAGACATCTTAAACCTGAGAATGTTAAGCTTCAAATTCGAGTGGAGGCTATTGAGTTTTTGACAAATTAGAGAGAAGAGTGTGGAGGTAGTTAAACGAGTGTAAGGTGTGAGGTGTGGGGATTTGAAGTTCCGATTTCAAAGGAAAAAATAGATGTCATTTATGAGACACACTGGTCATGTGTTAGAAGTATTATTTGGGATGTGGATTTTAAAAATCTATGCCAAGAAGTAGGTTTGAGGGGAGYAGGTATGGATATGGTTGACAACCACTTGAGATAAAGAAGTGATAAGACATAGAAGTGATGAAATCCTCGAGTGTCGAACAAAGACGTGATGAGACTCAAAAGGTGTAGTCATGGTGTGATCCGTTCTATCAAGGTGTATCTGGAGCCTTGGATAAGAGCTAACTCTCGTTCCAATCTAATCCGAGAGTGGACAGATAGGTTAACTACTTGAGGAGAGGCTTTCGGTAGTACTTTGTTTAAAGAGTGCAAAAAAATTTCCAAAAGTAATGATCTATCGTATGTAAGAGAGTACAAATTATCTTTTTGAAAAGAGACATTTGGGATGAAACCAAAAGATTTAAAATTTCTTTGAGAGAATCTTTTGAGTTGACAACCTTTTTTAAGAAATAAGTTAGAGAGTAAAGCCCAAAATTTGAACTCTTTATATCAAACTCTCTTTTCCTTTCTTCGCTCTGTCCTATATACGGTCGTAAGCAATAACGATGTGACGGGACTTACAGAGAGCTCGACGAGGCCGAAAACGAGCATGGTGCGGAAGCTGCCGAGATAAGAATCGGAGACGAAGCCGCCGAGAAGCGAGAGAAGGAAAACAGTTCCAACGAAATTGGTCACAACGTTTGCAGATTTTGAAAGAGGGAAGTGCATCTGAGTGAAGACGTATGTTATCAGATTATTCCCAACTGCAGCAATTGCCATCATCTCGAATGCTTGAAGCCCTGACCCAAAACAAACCAATACATACACTTCAATTCTTTAGAACACAGAAAACAAAAAACAAAACAAAAAAACTAAGTTTTAGAGATAAAACACAGAGAAAAAGACCAAGAACAAAGGCAGCAGCAGCCATTCCCCCATGATAATTGGAGCTGCAGGCTCTGCCTCTCCAATCAACAGACGTGGAATTCTCTTTCAACTTTGAGGATTTTGTCTTCTCCAACACATCTCCCATTTTTGTTTCTCTTTTTCGTTCTTTTGACAGAAAACAGAGAAGGATGTGCAAAAAAGAGGTAAAAAAATTTGAAAAATGTTGTAAATTTCAAAGCACTGATTAAGCCATAGAAATGAAATGCGTTGGGCCTGCTTTGGTATTTATAGCTGAACTCGGGTCGTGGCACTACTGGTAGTGGGAAATGGGCCCAACAAAACCAAGGGAAGTCAACAAGTAGAAGAAAGTAGAGAGAGTAGAAGTTGGTTGTTCTAATATTATATTTGTTTGTAGGTTTCATACTTGGATTTTGATGGTTAATGTGTATTTTAACATCTATAATTTAAAAAGTTTTCAATAAATTTCCAACTTTTATGTTTATCTAATTTTGTATTTTAAAAATTTTGATTTTGTGTTTATTAAGTCTGGGTGTTGTTGACTTTAGTGAAGTTGAATTTTTCCTTATATATTGTTTAAGAATTATATTGGTGAACTAAGTTATTTCGGGTGAGTTCGGTTAGGATTATGGAGCCAAAACTTAGGCTTCACAGGAGGCAACGTTGAGATGATGGGTGTATGTAGCGTCTCAATACCACCGCCATAAACCCAGCAAGAAAAACAGGTATGAAGAATTACGGTAGACGATTACAACGAATTTCTATCAAACTTTATTGTTTCAATCTGATTTTTTGAAGAAGGAAAAAGGGAGCAATGAGAATGAGCTTGCGAGAAAGGATGTTGCAGAGTTTCAGAAGCAGCCTGTTTTTGTGGATTTAGTAAGGGTATACATGGTGAAATCCTAAGTAGCCGTTGTAATGGTACTTAGAAGTCAGGTAGTTATAGTTGTGATATTTAAGGGTCTTCTACGAGAGCGAGACAAATTTTATTGCAATCTTAATATCATAATAGAACTGTTGTTGCAAAAGACTGTACGTAGTCTTGTATTTTGGGGCAAACTGATATAAACTCTAGTGTTAGACTTTTGTATTCCCATCTTGTAATTTATTTTGTTATTACTAAATTGTGATAGGCTTCGTTACATGGCAGGGGAATTGGTTAGGTGCTAATTTGATTGCCCTATTTATTAGAAGATTATTTTCCCATAAGTTTGAATGTGGTTCTACACTTAAAAGGATTCTATATGTTAAGGATCCCATATCGAAAAGATAATGGACCACCTAATAATGGTTTATAATATAAGTGGGCTACTCCTCTCATTGTCAATTGGTTTTGAGATGGAATCCCATGAATATTAATACAGTATTACGACAGTATAAGCCCTGTAATTTGTTTATGTATCTAACCAATAGAGATGTTGTCTTTCACTTATATACCAAAATGTAAATAGATCCTTACGTCAAGATGGATCATTTTATGTATTTTCTTTTAGTCTTCTCTATGAATTCACAATCCTCTCGTCCCAATCGGATGGTGGGTGGCTCTGGAGCCATTAGTTAAAGAAATCCATGCACACACCACATCATTATCAAGAGCTGTTCTATGCATCTGATGAACATGAAAACGAATAACCCAGCAGCTGGTAGCAACTCTGTGAAATGGCATCTGATCACACCCCAATTTGGTGCCCATAGCCCACTTTGCCATCAAGTATGGAGCACTTAGTCGCAGCAACCTTAATTGTGTTTTAAAGAATTAAAAAAAAGAAAAAAGAAATGGGCTCTGTCTCTTATTTTTCCAATCCCCAAATCTCTCTGCCTTTGAAAACTTTAATCTTTTCAAGATATCATATAATATATTTCTTCTCTCACTTTGCTTATTGATAGAAACTGAAATGAAGAACTGATTGGTGAGTTAATGGTTTGACAACTAATGGCTAAGCCTAAGCTCACATTATCGAAACGTTTGATTGGTTCTTTTGTATATATCATTGATTCCAACTTAGAAAAGAAACCCTATAAATGTGCTTGCAAGTTCTAGATTAGGTTGTAGGAGATATCTCTTTTTTATTTTTGTTTTTTCATACAAATTTGTCAATAGCTTATGATAGTTTAAGAGATAATAGCTAGCATAGTGTCACACACGTGAGATAATTTTATTAACATGACATACAATAGAGACTTCAAGTGTATGGTCTAATATCTTTTTATGATTATTGTTGTTAGATGATTGTAGACAAACAATCAATTAGCTAATCTTGTGCACGTCAATGAATAAAAAACAGTGAAGAATCACTTGCATAATAAGAACCCTTGGATATTGATATGGTATCTATCAAATACGCTATGAGTCTACAATTTAGCTTGTAAAATAAAGACCGTTGAATGTTGTATGTGTTAGGAAATTTACCCAAACCTCGGAGCTGCAGCACTGAGTAGGGCCAAGTGGCCGAGACAGCAGTGCCTAGGCGCCGCCCATAGTCATGGCATCCACTTATAGCACCATGGCGCTACGACTATAAAATTATAAAAATCTCCTTTTTGCTATGTTTTTTGGTGTCAGGTATTAGAAGTCTTGAGCAACGGTTGTCAGTGTCAGAGAAGAGGGAAAAATGTTTGTATAGCGTTGTGTGGACAGTCTATTGGTGGGTTTAGTGAGGGTATTCATTGTGTATTCTTAAGTAGTCATTGTTCTGGTACTTAGAAGCTAGGTAACTCTTTGTTGTGGTAAATTGAGAGCTCTGTAAAGTGAAAGAGACTTATTGTGTAATCTTTTCATTATAGTCAAACTTGCTATTTCTGAAGACTGAACGCAGTCCTAAGTTTGAGGAACTAGTATAAACTCTCTATGCTATTAAGCTTTTCTGTCTATATTTTATATCACTCTTATTATTACTTACTCCTAATCTGCTTCATCCTTTGGAAGGGAAAAATTAAGTATGTGGTGTTTGGATAGCTGTTTCAAGAGATTAATCTTTCCCGACAATGGGATCTGTAGAAACTAAGGTTTGAGAGAACCAGATTAAATTATTCTTATTACTGAAGTCTATATATATAGACAAATATACAAGATTGACCTAATCCTAGAAAGGGTAAAGGACTAATTAATACATATATTACAAATATACTAATATATATACTTAAGTTGGTGCATATATGTTAATCATGCCCAACTTGTTAGAGAGATAATCTATCAGTGCTCCATTCAATGATTTAGTGAAGATATCTCCTAGCTGCTCTCTAGTCTTCACATATCCTGTAGGCACCAATCCTTGTTGTATTTTCTCACGTACATAATGACAATCAACTTCAATGTGCTTGGTTCGTTCATGAAATACTGGATTAGATGCAATATGGAGAGTTGCTTGATTATCACACCTGAGTTTCATTGGAGTGATGATGCCAAATCCTGATTTAGTAAGAAGCTGATATATCCATATTAATTCACACACCGACTGTGTCATGGATCGATATTCTGATTCAGCAATCGAACTCGACACCACATTTTGTTTCTTACTTTTCCAAGAAACTAAATTACCTCCAAAAAATACACAATATCCCGAGGTTAATTTCCTATCTTCCTTAAAACCTGCCCAATCAGCATTTGAAAAATATTCAATATTAAGATGACCATGATCTTTATATAGCAAACCACGTGCAGGAGCACCTGACAAATAATATAGAATATGTTCCAAATGCAGCCCAATGGTCAATCGTAGGAGAACTCATAAACTGACTCATCATACTGACTGGATAAGCTATGTCAGGCCTAGTAATTGTAAGGTAATTCAGCTTCCCTACTAACCTCCTATACTTCTCAGGATATTTCAACAACTCCCCTTCCTTTATAAGTTGTAAATTAGGTATCATTGGAGTATTACGTGGTTTAGCAGCTAACTTTCCTCTTTCAGTTAACAAGTCAAGTACATATTTTCTTTGTGACAAAATGATCTCCTTCTTGCTCCTTATTACCTCAATTCCTAAGAAGTATTTTAACATTCCCAAATCTCTAGTATGAAATTGACTATAAAGAAAAGAGTTGAGCGATAAGATGCCTGATGTATCATTACCAGTAATCACAATATCATCAACATATACAACTAGTAAGATAACACCATACTCAGATCATTTATAAAAGACAGAATGATCTGACTTACTCTTCTTTATTCCAAATTTCTCAATCACTTGGCTGAATTTTCCAAACCATGCTCGCAGACTTTGTTTCAACCCATATAAGGATTTACGAAGGCGACATACCTTTCCATTCTCCCTCTGAGCAACAAAACCTGGTGGTTGCTCTATAKACACTTCTTCTTGAAGATCACCATGGAGGAATGCATTTTTAATATCAAGCTGATGCAAGGGCCAATGGTGAATATGCCAAAGAAATGAATAACCTGACTGAAGCTAATTTAGCAACTGGAGAAAAAGTATCAGAATAGTCAATTCCATAAGTCTCTGCATATCTTTTAGCAACAAGACGAGCTTTCAAACGAGCAATTGATCCATCAGGATGAACTTTAATAGTAAACACCCATTTACAACCGATAGGTTGCTTTCCTGCAGGAAGAGACACTAAATCCCAAGTACCATTGTCATTTAAGACAATCATCTCCTCCAATATAGCAGCCCGCCAACCAGGATGAGATAAAACTTCATGAACAGTTTTAAGAACAGATACAAACTCAAGGGATGCAATAAACGAACAAGTAGGTGAGGACAAATGGTTATATGAAACAAAAGAAGAAACAGGGTAAGTACACTTACGTTTACCTTTCCAAAGAGCAATAGAAAGATCATCACTCGTTTCTGGATCCACAGACGAAGAAGCTACTGGTATAGGGCATGAGACAGAAGGAGATTGCCGTCGAGAATAAACTTGAGTAATAGGTGGAAAAGAAGGATAAGGCACAGACGTAGGGAGCATGTCAGTAGAAGTAGAGACAATGGTATAGACAAGAAAGTCATCATCTTCCTATGAATGCTCCCCCTGACTGGTACTCAAGGATGATGAAAAAGAACTATCTTCAAAGAACGTAACTTCAGGAGAGACAAGATTTCTATTGAGATCAGGATAATAACATCGATACCCTTTTTGAACACAAGAATAACCAAGGAAAATGCATTTCAATGACTTAGGGTCCAATTTGGTGAGCTGGGGGCGAACATCCCGAACGAAACAAGTGCAACAAAATATTTTAGGTTCAATAAGAAATA